AAAAAATTTATCTAAAAACAAACGTTAATTATATACTTTTTATATTATTTTCCAAGTAATACGGAATTTTTGATACGGAAAAATCCAAAAGTCATATGTTAGGATTGAACTTAGCAATTCAGCGAGCAATCTCGCGCATTTTAGGGCGCCAATGTTTAAGGGAGGTTTTATAGTGTTCATGGCGCAGAGGTCAACCTCTAGTAGATACATCACTCCCGTCTGCTTGCGTGTTTCCCTTGATGGATCGAGGTTCCCTCGTCCCTGTCGTATACAGTATTCGAATTCGATTTCTCATCTGAAGGAAGGATTATGCACTATATCCATAGACATCATATTTCACCTCAAATCTATATAGTCCAACACTTTTGAGATAATTGCCACTAAATCGAATTCACCGAAATCTTATTTTAAAAAAATCTCAATTTTTAACGTACTCTATTTTGAGCTCTAGTTGTAAATTAAATTTAAAGAATACAAAAAATAAAATTTTGTTTTTAATATAATTTCATATATATATGTGAAACTTGTTAAGAAAATAAAACAATGAGTACTAATCTAGATTTCAAGAAATATGATGAGGATATATAAACAAGTAATTAGATAAAATATTATGTTTATAATCGTATTATACACGGTGGATAAGATTATTTAAAAATAGAAAAGTTACACTTTCTATATTTATATATGAAAGATATAAAGTATGATTTTTATTTCCCATGTATATTTGCGCGCAAAATGTTATTGAGAATTTGATAGACATGTCAACGAAACCTGTTAGCTATCGCAGATATAAAACTACTGCGTGCACGATGATACTTGGCATGATAATTTTGCTGACAGAATCGGGTGTGATAGTGATCGCGACATATATATATATATATAAGTTATAGAGATTTCCTTGGAAATGCGCGCAACCAGATGCGAAAGTCAGTGTGTGTTCGACTTTGCATAAGAAGCGGAAGCGATTACTTCCACTTGGTCAAAACGAGATCTCTCATCTCGCGACGAGAGAGAGAGAGCAGCAAAGAAAGAGAGACCCGACTATAAATCTTCGCCTTGCACATACGTATCTTGCACGTAACCATCTGTATAAATACACGAGTATTCACATGGTCGAAGATTAAATGCGATAGCAAAAAAGGATTTATTCCCGATAGACGCCATAGCACAACGGTATATATGCGCGCAACATTTTTCTCAAGTGACATGTAAAAGCATGATCATTCTTATGAAAATTTGTTAAGGATATTCATTTTTAGAGCTTATAGGTTATAATTGCTAAAATGAATTTAGAACAACCAATCGGATATTTGGTTTGGAGATAAAGTGAAATACACTACAACCTTTATTTATGATCGCCTCAGCAGATTTAATGTCAGTTTATAATCACAACACTTGAAAATTTTTAATTATTTTTATTGTTCAAATGATTAACAATAATTTATTAATTTAATTATAAATGAACAAAATTTAAACTTTGCACCTGATAAATATTTTTTATGCGTTGTCAATTGATGCAATTAATAATTTCCTGTCACGCAATATTTTATTGCCAGATGACATTTGTAAACCATGTTGGTTTCCATTGTCCCCAATCGCCATTTTTTTCATAATTCTCGTCAACTATCGCACCCTGGTCTAGGAAAAATTTAGTAACTTTTAATTTTAACAATAAAGTCACTAAATTTCTACTAGAGCAGAGTGCGGTAGTTGACGAAAATTATGACAAATGACAAGTGGGGACAATGGAAACCAACCACCAACATGTTTGGGAAACAAGAGCCCAAAATATGTTCACCTAAGGCAGAGTTGGGTAGGATTGAAAATCTGTCCAATAATAGTTTTCGAAATGTGGTTGGTTACCATTGTCTCCACTCGCCAAAATCCCCATTCGACATTTTTCATAATTCTCGTCAACTACCGTACTCTGCTCGAGTGAAAATTTTGTAACTTTTAATTTTAACAATAAAGTCACTAAATTTTCACTAGAACACGGTGCGGTAGTTGACGATAATTATGACAAATGACCAGTGGGTCATGAATAACGGAGCATTTACACCTTTGGTAAAAAAATTTTTTATTTTTGAATTTTCCGAAATACACAAACCTGATTGGTTGTTCACAATCTGATTGATAATGGACAACCAATCAGATCTTTGCATTTCCGAAAATCAAAATAAAAAAATTTTTTTACCAAAGGTGTAAATGCTCCATAACAAATCAGTGTATTAACTGTTTAGGCTGTCCCGTGTGGAAAAATCTTGTGGAAGTCTAGCGTCTAGAAATAGTCTTTCCAGTCATAGGCAAGCCCGTCTAAACTAGTCGGTCTTGCTATTCGCTAAGAAGCGTTTCAATAGACGTAGTCGAGTTCGTCTTATCTAGACCGTTTTTCAAGACTCAAGCCAGCGACTTTACAGCGCTACTTGACAAACGTATAGGTTATGGTCGTTTGCGGTTGTCAGTGTACTTTTATAGTTGTTGCACTTTTGTGAAATTCTTTTTTTTGTAAAATACTTTTGTAAAATGCTTTTGTAAAATACTTTTGTAAAATACTTTTGTAAAATACTTTTGTAAAATACTTTTGTAAAACACTTTTGTAAAATACTTTTGTAAAATACTTTTGTGAAATACTTTTGCGAATTACTTTTGTAATTGTGTACAAATATTTTTAAATTTTTGTGAAATACTTTTGCGAATTACTTTTGTAATTGTGTACAAATATTTTTACAATTTTTACTAATTACAATTTAAGATATTTTATAATTAGTAATTAATATTATTTAAATTATATTTATATATTGCTGTTAATTTCAATAAAAATATTCTTTTGTTTTTTTTATAGATTTTTGAAATTTATTTTTTTAATCGAAGAAAAAACTTTGTCACGAATTTATTTATTTTTATATTATATATCCATTAACATAACCTCAAACTAAAAAGTAGTTTTTAACAAAACTAAAAATATATTTAAAATTTATTACACCCAAATTCGATATATCCAATTGTACAATATATATTAATTTAAATAATATTAATTACTAATTATAAAATATATTAAATTGTTATTAGTAAAAATTGTAAAAAATATATTATTTAAAAATATTTGTACACAACTACAAAAGTAATTCGCAAAAGTATTTCACAAAAGTATTTTACAAAAGTGCAACAACTATAAAAGTACACTGACAACCGCAAACGACCATAACCTATACGTTTGTCAAGTAGCGCTGTAAAGTCGCTGGCCTGAGTCTTGAAAAACGGTCTAGATAAGACGATCTCGACTACGTCTATTGAAACATCTTTATTATGGATTATTTCAATATTATTCATTATAATTATACCTATAATATTGTAATAATTAAAGAATTATTATTTGATACATTATAGAGATGATAAATCATAAATATAACGTAAAAAACAATATTATTATTAATGTTAAATCTAATCGTTGAGGAGAAAGTAATTATACACAACATTTAAACATAAAAACACAGATTGAATAATTTTATTAAAATGATATTATAAAAGGTACACTAATTCGAGACGTTTTTCATCGAAAACACTCGCCAACTAAAAACTGTATTCCTCCGCCAGTCCCCCCAAGACCCCAGCTCTGCCGAGCCCTCTCGCGGTACAAATCTGACATATTTCAAATATAAAATTTACACTCGCATTCCAAACATCCTCCCACCAATGAGTCAGTATGACTCAATCATTCTCAATTTTTGAAAAAGTTTGGTTTCTTAACAACTCGACCACTACGAGTTTTGCATTCTGTTTCCTTCGATGTCACAGATTTATAATCTTCCGCGGTTACAATAGACTCACTCGCAGGTTTGTCAGAAATTTTATTTCGCATAGTCGCAATTTCGTCTTCACAAGAATAATTTAATTCCAATGGATAGACACGTTGTATTGGGCGCTTCAAAAATCCATTTTTCGTTTTTAAATAGACAACGCGTTGCGTACCATCTTTACCCTTGATCAATTTTTCAACACGAGCCAGAGGCCAATCATTACGCTTGTGAGTATCGTCTCCTACGAGTACAACATCGCCGATTTTTAATTTTCGAATCTCTTTGGAATTAAACCTAGATATTAGTTGACTTAAGTATTCTTTTCGGAATCTATTTCGTAAATGTTCCATAATTTCCTGCTTACGTTTAAATCTAGAGTTAAAATCGAGTTTGTCAATTATATCGAGATCGGGCATTTCGCTTTGTCTGAGATCATGCAAAAACATCGCAGGAGTTAGAGGCTTAAGATCATACGGTTCCTCAGACACGTAAGTCAAAGGTCTAGAATTTAAAGTTAATTCGCAGTCACATAGTACGGTGTACAATTCTTCGTAGGTGAGACACGCTTTTCCTAAGACTTTTCGAAGAATAATTTTCATCATTCCGATTAAACGCTCCCACCAACCTCCCCACCATGAGGCAGTTGGCGGATTGAATCGCCAATCAATTTGTCGAGCCTGACTGTAAGTAGCGATGACGTCCCAATTCAAATTTTCAAAAGCATTCTCGGCGCCGACAAAATTTGTACCGTTGTCGCTGTAAACAATAGCAGGTCTACCTCGGCGTCCGATAAATCTACGAAGACTTCCTAAAAAATCATTAGTCGATAAAGATGTCACCAGTTCAAGGTGAACTGCTCGATAAATGGCACATGTATAGAGACAAATCCACGCCTTCTTTTGGCCGCGTAAAAAAACTGGGCCCGCAAAATCAACACCAATTACTTCAAATACTGCCGCATCCTTGACACGATGTATAGGTAAAGGCGGTGGATGTACCTCTATAGGTTTCGAATTATATTTATTACAGGTAACGCATTTCTTTATGATAGAACGTATCGCTTTACGCGAAGAAAAAATCCAAAATTTTTCACGGAGTTGACACATGACCGATTGAACTCCCGCGTGACCCATGATTTCGTGAGTCTCTCGGATGAGTAATTTGACCACTTGATTATTTGAATCAAGTACGATTGGACTTTATTTATTTATTTTCGTGACAAAACATATCGTTCTGTAAGACTTTCAAAAATTGCTTTTCTGTTTTATAAATCTCGTTAAACGTCAACTTTTTTCCGTTTGTGAGCTCGCCGTTAATTTTATAATTTTTAAACTTTAACATTATCGCGAAAAATCGAATCATTTTATTATAGGATGAAAATTTATCAACAATGCTAAAATTTATTTGATCATCTGCATTTAGTAATGCAATTTGAGCCGACTTCCGCACCTCAACACGAACCTCATCCTCATTCACTTCTTCTCTCAAACAAGGCCAGTCGATTTCCTCGCGACGTAACCAATCAGGCCCCTCCCACCAACGCGAGTCTAACAGCTGTTTTGCCTGACACCCGCGTGACGGTAAATCGGCAGGATTTAGCTCACCCGGCACGTATTTCCAAGTGGCTGATGAAGTAATGAGTCTGATTTCCTTTACTCTATTCCATACGAATACGGCCCATTGGATATCTCTCTTCACCCAAGCCAAAACGGTGGTCGAATCTGACCAAAAAAAAATGGGGACATGAGAATAATCCAAAGCATCTACTATCTCTTTAGTTTGACGAGCACCTATAGACGCGGCCAATAATTCCAAACGCGGAATTGACATGCCATCCGGGGCAACTCGACTTTTGGCACCAAGAAAAATTAAATTCACACTTTCTCTATCTTTTACGCGTAAAAAAGTAACTGTCGCATAAGCAGATTTGCTTGCGTCACAAAAAGTGTGAATCGAAAAATCCCCAGTGCCAAATTTTCTCGTTACTTCAATTTTTTCCAAATACGACAATTGTTCTTTCCAATTTAAAAAAGCCTTTTGCGTGTCCTTATCTACCGGATCGTCCCAATCAAGTTTTTGCTTCCATAAATTTTTTAACAACAGTTTTGGCAACAAAGTTACAGGCGAAGTGAAACCAATTGGATCAAAAACCTTGTGTGCGACCGATAAAATAGAGCGTTTAGTGACTACCGTGTCACCTTCATCTTTTAATAAAGCTGGGTTTACTGAAATCGTGTCGCGTATCTTATTAAACAAAAGACCAAGTACTAAAGTCGATTCTTTATCTGAGTCATCTCGTGTGTATTCCCATTCTCTCAGATCGAAACTACCGAGTGCCATCATTTCTTTAGCCGACTTTATAAAATCCTGTAATTTTTCTTTCGATTCTACACTCGTTGTGCAATTGTCCACGTAAAAGGATTTTGATAATTTTTCGATAATTTCACAAGACCATGACCCCTTACCGTCTTTTGCTGCTTGCAACAAATTCGAAAAGTGTAATTTTAAAACGGCTCCCAACAAAAACGGACTACACTTTAAACCAAATACTACACGTCTATGCCGAAAAATTTTTATTTCATCGTCAACCAACCAAAGAAAACGCAAATAGTTGCGCTCCTGTTCATTTATTCCGATCTGTAAGAATGCCTTGCGAATGTCAGCCAAAACAGCTATCTCGTGTTCTCGAAATCTTAACAAAGTCGCGGGAATCAACTCAATTAAATTCGGACCTTTTTCAAGGCATTGATTCAAAGAGGGAAAACCAGCGACATTTGCCGATGCGTCAAATACTGGTCGTATTTTTGTTGTGCTTTCCTCTTTAACTACCGGGCGATGAGGTAGGTAATGACATGCGGAACCCGACTCACCAACTACAGGTTCAATAATTCCTTCGTCTTGCCATTCCTTAAATACTTGATCGTACTGAAAAAACAAATCATCTCGTTTTAATTTTGCAACAGTGTTATTCAATCTCTTTTTAGACAATTCGAAATTCTGAGAAACAGGTGCGTGATTATCGTTCCAAGGCAAATCAACCGAATATCTTTTTTCTTCTGTATAAACTACCGATTTTAAAAACTGGTTTTCAACAATTTGTTCTTTTTCTATTTGACTTGTTTTTTCAATTGGATCTTTAATACCCAAAATATCAAGACTCCACAGATCAGCAATTTTTGCATCTTTTACAAACATCGACATCGCGACAGTGGCTGCATCGGATCGCTCGGCCGCCGGATTTTTACCCATGAGAACCCAACCTAATTTGGTCTCAAATGCCGCAAGACCGTTGCTCATTTCAAATTTGTTCCCCGTCATAAGTTTGCCTGCCACATCCGCACCAATCAATACATCGATAGAGTTATCTAAATTTCCATGTTCTAGTGTTAAATCGGAAAGCAAAATATTATTTCTCTCTAATTCCTCAATAAAACCCGTTTTCTTTACACTAGGAATATTTTCACAAATAGTTTGCTGATCCATAACCTCAAAATTGCATGCGTATTGATTGTCGCGATTTCTCATTCGAATTAAAAAAATGTTATGTTGCTGGCTTTCCGTATTTAAACCCCCGAACAAGGAATGAGTCACTTCTTTAGTTGCGATAGGCTTATAACCTAAAAACTTAGCTACATCAGAGCGAATATAAGATCTGTGCGAGCCACTGTCAATGACCACTCTAGCTTCCTTTTCTTTTGAGTCAGAATACAAAACAACACGTATTGTTTGCATATATACGTCAGGCGAACGAGAAAAACTAGCAAGATTCTGTTCCTTAGTCACGTTTAATGATTCTGCTTTTTTACTCGTGTTCATTGAATCCGCGCCACGAGTGTCACCTTGACAAACAAGAGCCGAGTGGTGTTTACCACACTTTGAACAATTTATTCTTACTCTACATTTTCGCGCCGCATGACCAACTTTCAAACACCTAAAACAACAATTATTTTCGCGAATCATGCTACAAATTGTGTCATACGAAAATGTCTTGGCTTTCTCGCAAGCCGCGTTATCGTGAACATTATTACAAAAAATACATTTCTTACGCTTATCCTCGTTGGCAAATAAAACGCTACCTGTTGCCAATTCTGGAACTGATGTCCTGCTTCTAGACTCGTCCTTCGACGTCTTCTTTTTCCCTGATTCGACGTTAATGGCAAAACCATGCATGGCCATATTGATTCTCTCCTCACTCTCTACCTCTATCCTTAGAAATTGTAGAAGCCTCGAAAGTCGGTCCATCCTCTCTTCTCCATCAGCTGCATTTTCACTATTTGATTCACTTCGTTGCCAAGTTCGTAAAATTTCCTCAGGTAATGAGGATTCTACCAAAGGATAAAGCATCGTCGCACAATTATTCGTTGTAACGCCTAGAGTCTCCAATGCACGAATATGGGCCGAAAGCTTGTCGTAAATACACGACACATCAACTTTTTTGCCATGATTGGATGCGTTATTTAAAACTAACGAAAGCAGTTCACGTGTATAAAATTCAATTAGCAAATCGTCACGACCAAACCGGCTTTTTAAACTGTCAAATGCCTTTTGATAATTTTCGGCTGTTGTCGGATAACCACTGACGATGCTCTCAGCTTTAGAACCCCTTTCCATCGACTGTTTCAAGTACTCTAATTTATCCTCATCAGTAATGGCTCTGTCCTCGTGAATTTTTCGGAAATGCGACCAAAACTGTAACCACTTTTCGACACTGCCACCAAATTTCGGAATTTCTAACGTTGGACGCTTGAACGGTTTATCGTTTCGCGGAGTCGCGTGCTCATTAAGAATCGGTGCCGCCGCCGCTGCAAAAGCAGCATTTCCCGGCACTACACTAAACAGTCTCGATCTTGCTTGTAAAAACTTGAGTTTGTATTCTTCATGAGATTCTATTTCGGCCGTTATTTCATCCTCACTCGCCTCAGACTCGAAAATCATCTCGACGTACTTATTACTTGTTGATTCGAGATCTGAATATCGCGACTCAAGTAACTGTAATGCGACGTGACGATCGGCCAACGAAATATTCGCATTCTCGCACTTCTCCTGGAAACTGTTCAAACATCTGGTAAAAAGCGTGCGTTGCACCTTACGAGCCTTTTTTGCGACGTCCATTTTTGAGGTTATACACAACCGCACGTTTCTTGTCGTATTTCTACTCTCTCCCAAATGTCCTGTCACGGTCGCCAGATGTTAAATCTAATCGTTGAGGAGAAAGTAATTATACACAACATTTAAACATAAAAACACAGATTGAATAATTTTATTAAAATGATATTATAAAAGGTACACTAATTCGAGACGTTTTTCATCGAAAACACTCGCCAACTAAAAACTGTATTCCTCCGCCAGTCCCCCCAAGACCCCAGCTCTGCCGAGCCCTCTCGCGGTACAAATCTGACATATTTCAAATATAAAATTTACACTCGCATTCCAAACAATTAATATATATATTATATTATAATATTATTAACAATAAAGGCAATGGATATGGCTTTTATATAAATAGAAATAATTTTATAATTATATTAAAAAGATATATGAAATTTAAGGATAAAAACATTTTGAATTTAGCATAAAGGCGCGCCGAAAACATCACCGGTATTAACAGATTGTCGCCAAGTAGCCAGCGTGGCCCCGTGGTTAGCGTAGTAGGTTTGCGAGTGTTAGGTCGTGGGTTCGGTGCCCAGTGCGAGCGAGATTTTTCAAATTAGATTAGGTGTTATTTCCACAGGTGTTGTTAATTAATCTTAAGTGATAATATACAAATAGTAAAAAACTTCGGATTAAATTAATTAAAGAATAATAAATTTTTTTTGAAATTACTAATAATAATTAAATGAGGAGATAAGTTGTTTTGACTTATAAGATTCCAATACAACTTATCTCCTTATTATTAATAAATTAAAATCATATTAATAATGAATACTAATGTTGTTTTAATTTTATCTATAAATATAATAATACGTAATATTAATAGGATTATTATTATTATTACTATTATTATTAAGAATTATTGAACGCGAGAATCAAGACCTGGCCAGCTTGTCTAACTCTAGACCGTAGCATGGAACTTTCGTTCCATTTCTGATCGGGGGCTCGACAAGACCGTCTGGCCTGGGTCTATAGAGACGTTAGACAGTCTGTCCAGCGTCCTACCAGCGCCCCGAAATTTTTCTACACGGGGTATTCACAATATAAATACATACACTTTCCGAAAATTATTATGATTTTTATTTCCCTGCATAACCTACAATATACATGATACAATAATAAAAATTAGTATTATGAAATAAATTATTATTTTTATTATTTAATTTGAAGTACTAAATGCACTTTTAAAATAATTGATTTTTTAAAGAATTTTATAAAAGCTTTTAACTATATATATATATATATATATATAAGTTTAACATGATTTTTAGGGTACGGTCACACTATCACATGCATGCAGAAAAATTTGTCCGGTCACACTTCAACGAAATCTAGTGAATGTTTAGTAACTTTCTAGTAATTTTCCAAAAATTTCGGTTGTAACTAGAAAGTTACTATACATTTACTAGATTTTGTTGAAGTGTGACCGGCCAAATGTTTCTGCATGCATGCACAGTGCATGCATGAGATAGTGTGACCGTACTCTTATTTGATCGAAATTTCATTCAACATAATTTTTTTAATATATAATTCACACTTGATAGAAAATATCAAAGAGGAAAAACGTCATAAAAAACAAAAAATATTGAAAATAATAAAAATTTCATAATATTTACATAAACATTAAGAACTGACAAAAAATAAATAAAGAAATAGGAAACTTGTAAAAGTGACGCTATATATCTAACCTAAAATTCGCTACCAACTACAATTTGACATCACATTAAAAATAATAATTTTGCTCACCAGTAATAAAATCACTTCTTATCCTCACAATTCACAGATTGTCTTTTTCACTGTCACTGATTATTTCAAACTTTCGTTAACATAAATTGTTGATACTTTGAAATAAAAACGGACGGCAATCTAAATCTTGTATGTTTACCTATATATACAATGATTCCCGTCCACACGAAATGTACAAAACGGTCAACATAAAAAAAAACTTTAGTTGGGTGTTTTAAAGTAATACTAGTTTAAAAAAAGTTTATGCTGACATTTAATACTTTAGTTTTTGGTCTTCCTACAAAATTATTTTCAAACTTTTATTCTATGCTCTTCATAAAAGTTTTGATATTAACCTATAGCGAGATCTCGAAAACTCTGTATTCTAAGTGGAAAAAAGGAGAACAAAAACATTAACTTTATAATATGGATCGAGAAAAATCCCAGGAAACCAAGTTATCTAAAAAAAAAGAAGGGGAAAATGTTTATAATTTTGTAAAATTATAAAATCAAAATAACTATATCTACATATAAAATATTTTGCTGATTAAATATAAATTCTGTTAAATGGAAATTGTGTTAAATGAAAATTTGATAAAACTACACAATTTATTGTATAAAAGTTCGGATAAATAGAAATTCTATTAAATAAGAATTCATTCAAATAAAAAATTTTTGCATGAGAGAGAAAAGGACAGATATAGTCTCTGTCCATTTCTATCTCATGTTTCCATTGTCCCCACTCGTCATTTGTCATAATTCTCGTCAACTACCGCACCCTGCTCTAGTAAAAATTTAGTGAATTTATTGTTAAAATTAAAAATTACTAAATTTTTACTATAGAACTGGGTGCGATAGTTGACGAAAATTATGATAAATGGCCAGTGGGGATTTTGACGAGTAGGGACAATGGAAACCATCCAACCGGAGTCATTCTGCCTTAAAAGTCATTCGACAGGGATGGGTAGTCAAGGAAATCTTAAACAAGATGCCTTATGTTTACAAAATAATTCCGCTTCTGTTCCATGGTAAGGTAGCTGAATTATTTTGTAAACAAAAAAAAACCCTGCTTGAAATAATATAACAATAGTTTTTCATTTAATGGTATATTTAAATAGTGTTGTAATTAATTGAAAATGAATTCAACAATTAATGGAGACAGAGATGATCAGAAAATAAGCTATATACTTTTAACTCTTTATTTTGTCTTCTTGTATATTGTTTACAATATAATTACACGTATTCCCACATTTTGACAAAGTATTACCATACGAATTGTTAAAAAAAAAAAAAATAAACAGTCGATTAAAGAGATGAAAGCTAAAAAATTTTCACTAAAACTCTACCTCTATATATAGGTATAATTCTGCACTACTTCTGTTCATCTCCTTCTCTTTCTCTCTCAGTCGAGAAAAATTGCAGCTTTCTGCAAAGGCTGAATGAGAAAGTTAGCTGGGATCAAAAAAAAAAAAAAAATAATAATAATAATAAAAAAAGAGCTCGTCGCGACTCTCGCGACAAGGAAACCCTTACACCATGCAACCCAGACATCCCCACCGCGCACACAATCGTCTACAGAAGACGCACGTACGTGCGCGTCAGAATATCAGATGGCATTTCCTTGTATGTTTCACATTTCATTGAAACCGCCCTCATAGAAAAATGTCATGGAATATCGGAAATTGGAAAGCTTATTCATATTTTTTCGATACAGGCCGAACACATTCATTTCGCATACCTAATACTGTATAGTGGAGACGAGCGGGTGAACGTTGAAGCAGGCAGGGGTGGGTACATATATATATATGAGCATTCATACGTTTCATTTCTACTGGGAAGACGCATATATATTTCGATGCCTTTTTTCAATTTCCACGCTCGGATTAAAACGGCAATGTCGAGAGTTCCGGCGTGTCGGAAAATACATTTGATACAGGTATGTATAATCGTACTTATCGCTTGTATGCTTCTGATTTTAAACGCGCAGGCATCAGTTTCAAAAAAAAAGGCAAAAATTAGAGAAAAACAATAAAAAAAAAAAAGTAGAGCGACGCATGCAGTGCAACAAAAAAGAAAGTGATAAAATCGAGATCCAATTTATCAAGAGCTATATGAAGTATACAAAGTATATCATATTGTTAGGAAATATATAAAAATTGTCGAATAATTTAAATACAAAATTTTTTATTTCTTCCTCTAAACAAAAATGTACAATAATTTTAATTATATTAATTACTTTAAAATAATAATTCCCCACTAGAGGTTTAAGTGTGTAAAATCATAAAAATCGTATATATAACATTTTGAAAATTGCTTACCAGTTGTCAATCTATTGAGTGACATTTGAGTGTGGGAATAGGGGGCGCGGTCATTGCCCATCGGCCGTTGGAAATTAGACACACGTTTCATTTCCTGAAGCGACTGCGACTTCCGTCGTGGCTTCAAATATTGGAAATATCGCGCGTACCGTTCAATTTACAACGATCCAATCGGATTTTATAAGTCGATGGCATTTTACAGTTGTCATCGTTACACACACATATATACACGCGACACTTGCAATCGTGTCGGATGTTCAAAAGACGTAAAACTGGCTATTACTTGTGCCTATTTTTTTTATTCTTATAGTCTCTCTATATATATAGATAGAGGTATCATCAAAGAAAATCATCCGTCTGTCGATAAATAAAGCAGCAAGAAACTATACATGTATCAGAGATAGTCTATAATAAAACATTCGTTCTTAATGCTTTTTCTCTATTGCACTTAATTTAATTAAATGTTAATGAATTTCCTAGTAATTTAAATCAGTTTTCGATAATTGACAATTTGATCAAGTTTTGCATTTTTATTCGTAATAGTATATACTTAAAGATATAATTTATTTGCTTAAATTTAATTTTTACGCTCTTTAGATTCAGTGTCTGTTTCTTGACGCGCGATTAAGTTTTTTCTGTTTATTCATTTCTTAAAGCCTTATATTTTATCTCTCATCTTTTATGGTACAATGTCTCTTTTTCCAGTATACACTCAACTATGTGTATATGCTGTCCTTTCGGTTTGACGACATTTTGCAAAGTCGTGACACTTCTATAATAATTTTATTAGTACATGGTGTATTGGTTATTCTCTAAACACACAAGGTTGGTTTCCATTGTCCCCGCACTCGTCATTTGTCATAATTCTCGTCAACTACCGCACTCTGCTCTATGTGAAAATTTAGTAACATTATAGTA